GAGTCGGCGGTGCGGGTCAGCGCGGTGCGAGAGCTGTATGCCTGGGTGCTGCAGGTGCCCGAGCCAGACCTGGCCATGACCTTCCAGGAGGTGAGTGCCCCAACCCAGCCTGGCTCTCCCACTGTCCGCCCTGCTGCAAAGCCCTGGGGGCTCAGCTGGCACCCTCCCGTGAGGTGCTGGTTCGAGTCCCCCAGGGGAGCCAGGTGATGCCCACCCTGCAGCCTGCCAGTTGCCCTCCTGCTGTGGCTCCCTCCCCGGCAGTGCGGCCACCTCGGGCCTCACGGTATTTTCCTCTCCCTGCAGATCCTGGTGGACTTGGGCTCCAAAAATGCCAAGGGGCTGTACCGGGCGCAGGTGCGGGCCACGGTGGGGGGCCGCCCCACGGCTTTCAATGGCCTTGTGGGCCTGGAGAGCGACTCACTGGCCCGCAGCATGCCTGGCCTGGTGGCCTTGGCGCTTGAGGCCTTGAAAACCTAACAGTGCTCACTGTGCCCTGGGGCACCCTGCCAGCATGGGGATATGGGCTGGGACAGGAGGTCTCTCATGTTCTTCAGACCCCAGTGCCCCCAGGCTTAGGCAATTCCACACTCTTGTCCCGCGCTGTGCCTCAGTTTGCCTCTTACTGCCAGCACTGCCCAACCTCCCCAGGGCGACGGAGCATCTTGGCCAGGGATTGCATCCCTTGCTGTCCCTGGGACCCCTGCCTTGGGCAGACCCCTCCCCCACTCCAGTTTCCCCAGCAACACCCAGGCTGTTATTTATTTGTACAGAAAAAGATTTATTTTTCAATAAAGAAGGGCTCTATTTTTTGGTAGCTTATGAGTCTGAGGGGGGTGCTGTGCCGCGCGGTGCCAGGGACGCAGGCACTGGTGGGGGCCTTTCAGTGCGTGATGCAGCATCCTGCTGCCTCTCCCCTTCCGGCACCCCATACCCTCGAGCAATGGCCCCCGCCTTGATTTACACCCCCTGGCATCAGTGCTGAGCTCCAGCCCCCTGGCCTGGGGGGCACATACCCTTTCCTGCCCACCAGGCACCCCAGGACATCAGCCTCCCCCCCATGCTTGGTGTCACCTTCTCAGGCCCTGGGCACAAGGCAGGATCCAGGAGGGTTCTGCCACATGGCATGGCCAGGAGATGCCGAGCGGGGTGCAGGGGGACTTTTGCTACGCCTTGAGGTATTCCTTGGGGGTGTAGGGCGGGTGCCCCCTGCTCCCCCTCTGCCCCAGGCACTTCCTCTGGTAATACCCCTCTTTTTGCAAGGGACCCGGCCACCTAGCCCTTGGGCACCCTGGGCAGGCAGGACAGGGCTGGCACCAGTGCCTGTGGGGTCCTGCCTGTCTCTCTGCCCAGCCAAGCCAGAGAGTCCTGGGCTTCTGTGCAGTGGCAGGAATTTGACCACCACGGGAGGGGGCCATGGAAAGCACCCTCTGCCCCTCAGCACAGCACCCAATGCCCTCCGTGGTGCCACCAGCTCGGAGACCCACGTGAAACCTCCTGACTGGCGAAGGGCCGAGTGTGTGCTTGCCCACCAGTGAGGGACAGGACAGTGCCCAGTCAGGAAATCCCTGCCTTGGGTACCAATGGGTGCCAACACCTTTGTATCCCTGCTGTCAGAGAGCCCCAACCCCATCATTGCCCCCAGTGCCCGCTGCCCCCTAAGCAGCATCCCTGGACCTGCCGAGTAGCGGGGATGGGACCGCGCTCCTCCAAGTACTTGGCAATGCCAGTCCTGGAGCAGGCATGGGTGCCAACCAACTCCGGCTGGGACAAGCCAGGGGTGCTGGGCAAGGGGAGATGGGGTGGACACTGCTGTCTGGCCGGCCGAGACCAGCTGTGCCCGCCCATCTTCCTTTCTCCAGGCCCAGGGGTGACGGAAGAGGGGGGCCAGAGCCAACATCCGGTCTCAGCTCTCTTCCCCCTCAGCACCTGGCACCATCCATCTCCCCCCTCCTTCTCGCAGCCGGACATCCGTCCCCCAACAGCAGGCGGGGAGGTGGCAGGGGGCCCAGCACCACGCGGGGAAGGAGGGCACTGTGGGCGCCACATGGATAGCCTCCCGGCACAGCTGGCCCTGCTCGGGGCGCTGGCACTGGGGGGGGGGGACAACGGGGGGGGGGGGGGCGGGGGGGTTCTGACCCCTTTGATGGGGGTCAGGGCTGGGGACAATGCTGGCAGGACTCTGCTGGGCACACGTGTCCCCAGGTCCTGCTGACGTGCGTCACCCAGCAGAGTTGCGTGGCTGAGTATCACCTTCGCTGCCATTCTGCCCGTGCTGTGAGAGCCATGTCCCTGTCTGAGCCGAGTGCGTGTGTGTGTGCGTGTGCGCGTGCGCGTGCACACTGGCCGCTGCATCTATGTGTCTCCGTGTGTGTGTGTGTCCACCTGTCTGCATGCATGGTGCCACTGCATCCATGTCTGTGTCCCTGTGTGTCTCTGTGTGTGCATCCACGTGCACGGTGCCACCATGGCTGTGTCTCTGCATGTCATATGTCCCTCCCTGTGTGTGCGGAGTCAATATCTGTGTGTCCATGTGTCCCTGCATGTCTGTGCCCGTGTCTGTGTCCCTGGCCAGACGTCCCTGGCCACATGTGCCTATGCACCCCATGCATATGTGCGTTCCTGCATGTCTACCTCCATGTCCCTGTATGCCACAGGCACAGCTGCACCCTGGCCTTTTCCTGTCCCCCCCATCCTTATGCCACCCTGCCCTCACTGAGCATCCCCACAGGGCAGCACTGGGTGGCCCAGCAACCCCCCTAGATGGGGCTGGGCCTGACCCTGTGCCCCTCCAGGCGGGCTCTGCGTGAACCAGGAGGAACGGCTCATCCACCACCTCTTCGAGGAGAAGGGCTATGACAAGGAGGTGCGCCCCGTCGTCTCCATTGACCAGACTGTGGATGTCTACCTGGCCCTCACCCTCTCCAACCTGGTCTCGCTGGTGAGCCCCCAGCAGGCAGTGCATGCTGCCTTGGGGGTTCCCAGGGTCCCACCAGCCTTATCTCACCCCCAAGGGGTGGGTTTGTGGGGTGAGCCCTGGAGTCAGTCCCTCGGATGCCCTCGCTGGCAGTGGTCCAGGCATCCCAGTGCCTGTCTTACCGTGCCACTTTGTTGTTGCAGAAAGAGGCAGACGAGACGCTCACCACCAACCTGTGGATCGAACATGTGAGTTGGGGAAGGGGGTGCTGGGGTCTAGCACTGTCCAATTCCTGCCCACTTCCCTCCTTCGCAGCTCCCTGCCCTGGGTAGCGTCCTCGCAGCGTGCCATGGCAGCTATCCCCTGCCCTGGCACCCTGGGCAGGGGGACACTAGGGCATCAGCTGTGCCATGGGGCATGGGAACAGGGTGGCCTGGTTTGGCGAAGGGTGATTCCCGGGGATTCCCCCTCCCAGGGCTGGACCGATTACCGCCTGCAGTGGAATGAGTCTGAGTTCGGGGGCATCAAGGTGCTCCGCCTGCCGCCAGATATGCTGTGGCTGCCAGAGATCGTCCTGGAGAACAAGTGAGCTGTGCATCAGTTTCCCCTTCTGCACCTCCACCCTAGGCTGGCCGAGGCCCCCAGCTGCTTGCGGTGGGGTGGCTGGCGTCCTCGGCCAGAGTGGCCGAGCCATCCCCAGTGCTGAGGGAGCCACGCTGCGCCCCCCCGCTGGCCCCTGTGCCCACCTCGGCTCTCTCTGCGCAGCAATGACGGGCTCTTCCAGATTGCCTACTACTGCAACGTGCTCATCTACAGCACAGGCTCGTCTACTGGCTGCCACCTGCCATCTTCCGCAGCGCCTGCCCCATCAACGTCAACTTCTTCCCCTTCGACTGGCAGAATTGTACCCTCAAATTCAGGTGCCGCAGGGCCAGCAGGGGCCAGGGCAGCGCAGGCAGGGAGGCAGAAGGGCCTGAGGCTCTCCTCCCACTGCCAGCGCAGTCCCAAAAAGTTTTGCTCTGAAGCGTTTGGCAGGTGTTTGAGTTATGGGAGGGGGGAGAAGAGCCTGGTGTAGGGGTGCTGTGCCTTGGGGTGCCCAGATACCCACCCTGCCATGGTGCAAAACACCACCGCATGCGTGCCCTCTCTGTCGTGGACCTGGGCAGGGCCATCCCCTGGCGTGCCTCGGGGCAGACACCTCTCCCCGGTGCAGGTCTGGGTGCGGCCAGGCAGGACTCCGCGGAGCGACTCTGGGGGCCCTTGGCATCTTGGCAGAGGCCAGGGTAGGTGGGTGGCAAGGATGCGGCAGTGGGCGCAGACCCTCACCGCCTGTCCCCTGGGCCAGCTCGCTGGCGTACAACGCTCGGGAGATCAGCATGCACTTGAAGGAGGAGAGCGATATGAAGACGGGCAAGTATTACCGGGTGGAGTGGATCATTATTGACCCTGAAGGCTTCACAGGTAATGCATGCACCTTCTACCACGTGTTATGGCAGCAGGAGACCCTGAACAGGGCTCAGGGGTGCTCCACTGCCAAGATATCCTGTACAGGGCACAGGGGAGCCCCATATGGGGCATAGGGGCAGCCCACACCGGGACATCCTGCAGCAGGCTCAGGAGCACCCTACTGCTAAGGCACTCTGGTATGCAGGGCTTTGGCACCTTGGTACCCATCCTGCCAAGCTTGGCCCTACCCCTACACAGGGTGGGGAGGACGGGTGCTGCTCTGAAGGGTGGTAAGCCCCAGGTGGGCTGGGGTTGGAGAGGACAGGCATGGCCAGGTTCCCCTGTGCCTCTTGCCATCCCATGTGCCCTGGCAGAAAATGGGGAATGGGAAATCATCCACCGCGCAGCTCGCAAGAACATCCACCCCAACAACCCGCCTGAGAGCAGCGAGCACCAGGACATCACCTTCTACCTCATCATCAAACGCAAGCCACTCTTCTATATCATCAACATCGTCACGCCCTGCGTCCTCATCGCCTTCATGGTCATCCTCGTCTTCTACCTGCCTGCTGACAGTGAGCGAGCCCTGCGGCAGCCGTACGGGGCACGGGGACACCTCAGGGGCACTCTGACACCAGGATACCCCAAATAGGGGATCAGGAAACCAACATCCTGGCCAGGCACCCTGTCAAGGGCCACCCAGAGCAGGCCATGGGATGCCCCATGTGGGGCACCCCTACACCAGAACAGCCCGTACAGGGCACGGTATCCCTGAGTGGGACACTGGGAAGGGAATCTCAGCACTGGCAACACTGGGAAGGCACCCCAGCACTGGCGACACTGGGAGGGATCCTGGCAATGGGAGGAGTATCTGACCCTGGGGGCAGTAGGAGGGATCATGGCACTGGGGGCAGCAGGAGGGGAACCAGAGACAGGGGTTGCCCCGAGCTCACCTGCTCTCCAGGTGGCGAGAAGATGACACTAGTGATCTCCGTGCTCCTGGCCCAGTCTGTCTTCCTCCTGCTCATCTCCCAGCGCCTGCCTGCCACCTCCCATGCCGTTCCCCTTATCGGCAAGTGAGTCCTGGCCACCACCCTGCAACCTGGAGGGCTGGGGGTGGCAGAGGGTGGCTCTACCTGTGCCTGGCCACAACAGCAATGCCAGCCCTGCTGGGGGTTGGGGGGGGGTGGCAGCAGGCTGAGTGGCCCTGCCCCCCGCCCCACCCCAGGTTCCTGCTTTTCATCATGCTGCTGGTGACAGTTGTGGTGGTGATCTGCGTCATGGTCCTGAACTTCCATTTCCGCACCCCCAGCACCCATATCATGTCTGACTGGGTCAAAGAGGTGAGTGGGCCCTGGGGTGCTCCCTGGGGAGAGCAGCCACAGCTCAGCAGGCCTGGTGGATACAGCAGCAGCGGGTGGCACCGTGCCGCCCAGAGGTTATGGGG